TTCAACAAATGCTTCGTAGGAGTTCCCTTTTTATTTTAAAGGTGAGAACGGAGGTGCATATTTTGAGCAGGTAGCACGTGCAGCCCAGCTCACTTGTAAACACTGGCTCCTTTCAGCAGCACAACAAAAGGCAGAAGCTTCAGCTCTTACTAGTTGCGTGTGAGCTCGTTTGTATGATGCACGGTGCAGGCCGTGCAGAAACAGTCCCACACGCACAGTGGGTGTCGCAGAAAGAGCTGGCACAAAGCTTTTATGCTCTTCCTGTTGGGTTCCTCCTCCAATCAGCTGATCGTCTGAGTGCCGATTCCCTCACAGATAAAATGTTGACGCTGCACGTTTGATTATTTCCTAATTGTCTTGTGAGTGCTTTTGCTTTTGTTTCATTTACACTTTCTGAAAAGTCACAATGTTCACATTTGAAGTTGAGCAATGATAATAAAGTGTTGTGTAGTTTCACTTTAGTCATGCAGATGGCAACATGGCAGCAACCGACCATCTTCAGATATTTTACAAATTGTCTAAAGAATGAGATCATCCTTTATTGTAATAAAAACATTAAGGGCTTACAATCCCTGACAAAATGCACATCTCGTCACTTTTCACGTCAGATTTTTAAACTAAGATTTTCTTACGATGAGGTAAACTAAAAGTAAATAGAGTAGCATAAGAACACACGGAGAACAATAACTTAAAGTAACTGAAGAAACCTTCACGTATTTCTGCGAGGAATTTTATTTTAAATATGTTGAATATTCTAAGAAGAATAAAAGTTACAAGACCCAAAAGTCATATCCCACTGTTTTCAACCCAGCTGTACTTTTTGATATCCAAATAGTTAAAATAGCATAAAGTATAAGGAACTAGTTTGAGTCCATAAAAGGGACAGGAGACACTATACACAGGGAAACAATGTAAATGCTGACTCGGCATTCACACAAGAACTTATTATCTAGCTGGCTTATGGCTCATTAGACAGATGACTGAAGGTGACCTGTACGTGTTAAAGGACTTAACACAAAATCACATTTTTTAATCAGCTTATATTGTTGCATATTTATTGCTGCTGTTTTAAGAAATTAGGCCCAAATCAGATAAAGCGAAACTCCTCTCCGCTTGCATACACCAGAGTTGGGATCTGATCTGCAGAGAAACAGAAGTGAGAGATGTGACAGATCTATAGACGTTGAACTCCCTTTCTGTTTACTTGTTGTGTTGAAGCAGAGAAGCTATTTGTGTCTAAGTATGCAGAAATACACAAAAGGTGCACACATTTTCATGCAGAACCACTGACACCACAAACATCTACAAATACACTATTGCGCACACAAACACTACAAATGTACACCACAAACTTCCCGCATACTCATATCTCTGTCTTTTTCTGTCAGTGACTGCCTGTTTTGAGAAGAGTGGGGGGGTGGGGGGGGGTGTATTGACTGGAAACAAGTAACAGTGACCCGACACAAACTCTCTCAACCAAGGAATAACACAAACTGTGGAGCGTGTTTAAGCCTTCAACATGTTCTGAGTGAAGAAAGCAGCTCGGCCTCTGTCCGCTCGAAGCCCCGGCTCAAAAGGAGAAACTGAAAGCAAAATCCAAGAAGTTGCAGCTTGTCAGTAAGTTTGATGAATTGTGAGTTTGGTTAAATGTCCTTTGTGACCTGTGAGAATGTTGCAATGCCGTCTGTCACTGTTTTTTTTTTTTTGTTTTTGTTCCTATGCCCTGAAACTCTCGAAATATCACTTAAGTAGCTTAAAGTAAAAGTTCAAATCCTCAAATCAGTTCCGTTTTGAAGCAGTTTTTGGAGGAAAACGGAGCCTGCAATTGTAAAAAAAAAAATATATAAATATTTTTTAAGTCATAGCAAGTGTGTGTGTTGATGCTACCACATACTCATTTTCCGTTGTTTTCCATTCAGCTTGATATAGTGCACCAATTTACATGAATACTGATATCAATGCAAAAACAATGTTACAGAAAACAGCCTGGCTTGAATCCTGCAATGTCTCTATATCACGTTCAACATCATATGACTCTCCAGTGCACCACCCACTAGTGGAAACACCACACACAAGAAAGTTAAAGCATAGCCAGCCAGGGCATTGGCAAAACCTTTGTTCCTGCAGAATCAGTGTGTGCACATGCTGACAGTTTCTAATACACTACAAAACAGTCGTCACCAAAATAAAGGTCACACACTGATATTTGGTTGGAGCGCCTTTAGCTTTGATCACATCGTTCTCTGTGTCATTGTTTCAATAAACTTCTTCAATGTCACAAGATCTGTTTCATCCAGTGTTGCATTAATTTGTCACCAAGATCTTTCATTGATGACGAGACACTGGTCATGATGGTGCATCACTTCTCCTGCCTCTCTTCTGACCCTGATGCACCATCACTCTGGAACAGGGTCAACCTGGACTCATCAGACCACATGACCTTCTTCCATTGCTCCAGAGTCCAATCTTTATGCTCCCTAGCAAACTGAAGCCTTTTTTCCAGTTAGCCTCACTGGTTAGTGGTTTTCTTAAGGCTCCACAGCTGTTCAGTCCCAGTCCCTTGAGTTCCTTCACATTGTGTGTGTGGAAATGTTCTTACTGTCTCTATGAACCACAGCCCTGAGTGCTGCTGGTGTTCTTCTTCCATTTGATTTCACCAAACGTTTAAATGATCACTGATCACCATCAGTCAGGATTTATTTCCGGCCACATTTCTTCCTGGAAGACGATGGGTCCCCACTGTCCTTCCAGTTTTTAATAATGTGTTGGACAGTTCTTAACCCAGTTTTAGTTTCTACAATCTCCTGAGATGTTTCCTCTGCTTGATGCCAATGATTTGACCCTTCTCCAACAGACTGACATCTTTCCACGACCACCATGAGTCTTTCATCATGTTGTTGAAGAAATGAGAAGCAACTCATTGCACCAGTTGGAGTTAAAGAACTTGTTGCAGCTGAAACATGATCGTCCGTGCACTGATGATCCAGCAGGAGCCTCAGACCTGTTTCATTAGTTACATCCAGGTGGAGACTTTATTTTTGGCCAGGCAGTGCAGATTTTTTAATAGACTGCGTGTTATTGCGACTTTACAAAATCCTTAACTGTATAAGTGACAAACAGAAAATACGTGTACATTAGCGAGAAATCGCTATAAAACTTAAAAACCTAACATTTCTTGAAGAAATTGATATATCACAAGATGTGATGCTCATATTATACTGCAGTGGAGTATCAGCAAACACCAAATCAAATATTAGCTCAATGTCAGTCAAACTGAGTAAAAGCTGGTCTCCCTAATCAGGTCTCTCTTGTAAATGAGTCCTCGAGGCTCAATGGGATTTACTTGTCTAAATAAAGGTTGAATGAAAAAAAAGAAGCTGTGTAGTGACTGAAAAAACAAGATTTCCGTACAAATGACTTTTCTCCACAAGGTGTCAGAACTCCCCGTTAGAGATGGGATGAGGAGTTCAGTTATCCAGGAGCGACTCCGAGTAGAGCTGCTCCTCCTCATCGAGAGGAGCCAGTTGAGGTGGTTCTTTTAAGGACGCCTCTCTAGGGACACATTTTCAGGGCATGTTGAACTGGTAGGAGACCCAAGAGAAGAACCAGTATGCACTACAGAGACTGTCTCTCGGTTGGCCTGGGAACGCCTTGGAGTCCTCCCAGAAGAGCTGGAAGAGGAAAGAGATGTCTGGGCCTCCCTGCTCAAGATGCTGCCCCCGCAACCCGACTCTGGAACAAAAAGAAGATGGATGGATGGATAATGTTAATTGGCTGTGGTGGCCAAGTTCATTTGGGATGATTGCCAAAGTTTAAGCTGTAAATGTACCTTCCATGAAAACTTTCTGAAAGTTTCATCAGATGTTGGTTCATTAGATGGTTTAGAGTTATTCTGGTAACACAAACAAAAACTTTACTTCCCTTCTTCGCTTTTTAGTGGCAGGCGATGATGCTGTTGCTCAGCTGGGATGGCATGAGAAGTCTCCGTGCAGGAAGTACATTCTTTATGCACTAAAGGAGCTGCACAGTTGATTTGCGGGGGTTGATCCTGGCTTCTGCCATCACATGTCAAACTGTTGTTGGATAACACTGAACCCTGAGTTACCCCCATCCTGCAAACTGGTGTGTGTGTGTGTGTGTGTGTGTGTGTGTGTGCGTGTGTGTGTGTGTGTGTGTGTGTGTGTGAACTGGTGAAAGTGAGTTGTATTGTAAATGTGCTATTAAATGATTGCAGTTTGTGGCTTTTTATGAACACGTTCTTTAAGCTTTGCTTTTTAAAAACATACAGTTGTCTCTCGCTACTTCCTGGTTCATTTATCGCAGACTCGCTCTATCGCGGTTTTTCAAAATAAGAGTGGACATGACACACAATCTGCATGGAGTTTTTATTTCAAATACATTATTTTAAATTATTTAGCACCTGCTGCACCTTTGTGCAACCTACACTGCAGGATAAACTTCCTGCTGCAGCTGATCAGCTGTTCTCCATGCAATATGGAGAAGTGGGCGTGGCCAAGAGCGCTTGCAGGTGGCTGAGAGCAGAGGAGGCAGGGAGCTGAAATCATGACATGCTGTCTCTTTTAGAGCGTTTAGAGTTTAGAAACATTGTTTAGAATGTTGCAAGAGTGTGGGAAGGGTTTAAAACACCTTTATATTTATATATATATATATATATATACATATTTATATATAAATATATAAATAAACTACTACTTACTACTTGTACTACTTGTACTACTGTTCCTACTTCATGGTTTTTTACTTATCGCGGGTCTTCGTTGTACAGATCCCCCACGATAAGTGGTGGACTGCAGTATATTTATTGCTCTTACTACGCAACACTTCAGCTGGTGCAGCAAAACAAAAACAGTTCATGGAGCAGTTTGTCAAACTGCCAACTGAAAGTTTCTTAACGCCTCTTTGATCAAATGTGATTTTTTTTTTTTAATTGCACATCTTTAATTCATCTTGTGTTGATTCTGAGTTCTTTTCTTTTGCAGCCTCAGGGCGTTGAAGATGGCAGTGTGGATTCAGGCCCAGCAGCTTCAGGGAGATGCTCTGCACCAGATGCAGTCGCTGTACGGTCAACACTTCCCCATCGAAGTGCGACATTACCTCTCCCAGTGGATCGAGAGTCAGCTCTGGTGAGTCTCTCTGCTGCTTGTGAAGTGAGGCATTAAGCACCCATGAGCTTCTTCATGTCTGTCCTGTTCCCTGCGTGTGTGCTTGTGTATGTGTGTCGATAGGGATGCTATAGACCTGGAGAACCCACAGGAGGAGTTTAAGGCTAAACGCTTGCTGGACAGTTTGATACAAGAGCTGCAAAACAAGGCTGAGCATCAGGTGGGGGAAGATGGCTTCCTGCTTAAAATCAAACTGGGACACTACGCTAACCAGCTCAAGGTAAGTTGGCCAATGAAGGTAGTTTGAATTTGATGAAGATCTTTTTTAACAAACTCTTTCTTATACAAAACATGTTGTTTTCAGAGGGTTCTGGTTAGTGATCTGAATGCTGGAGATATAAATGTTGAAACATTTGCTGTTAAACTACAGATTAGTCACAACTCTGCTGTTTTTGTTCTTATAGATTGAGCACATTTTGCTCAAATTCTCAAACTTATATTGTAGTCAGCATTTCTATTTAATGATGATGTAAACACAGGACAACTAGATGAACTGGTTTGTCACTCCTGATTTATTTCTACCAGCAATATATAAAACTTTGCAAACCTTTCTGTCCAGTTTATTGGTCTTTTTAATTTAGTGTTTTTTTTATCTGCTACTGAAAGACAAAGGCAGACCATAATGTTTTTGACTGTGTGTGTGTGTGTGCATGTGCTACTCATTGCACAAGATATTTGTATAAAATTGGAAATAACTTTGAGGCAACCTTGTTCGTCTGTTAGCAAAATATCTCAAGAACCACTGTCCAGATTTAATTGCAACTTTTAGAAAAATTATTTGATATGGATCTACAACCTTTGGAGTCGATCCAATTTATTGTGGCTGCCACAACTAGTTAACATTAGTCAACACAAAAATGACTAACTTGGTCAATTTTACAAAGATTCAGCTCAAATTTGACGTGGTAGTAGTAGCTAGGAGTAATTCTCAACACGTACTCTGAGTGTGACGTTGCAGGGTATTTTAGAATGTTCTTTTGAAGGTTTGACCAGAACAAGCAAGTCTATTTTTGCACAAAATATGATCTTTGTTTAAAATTCTGAGATGAAAGATGATGGGCAACATGCATTTCTTCAGGAAATGCTAGACCTTTAATGTGAAAAAGATAAAGGGTTAAGTTGTGGTACACATTCAAACTACATTCAAGTTATTAGCAGTATAAACTTTGTTTGGCAACGAAAGCAGCGCAAGTAAATTTAAACTGCTTTTACTTTATAAAAAAACCTGATTAATACAAAAATTTACAGAAAGACAGAAACTAGTTGTATAAAAGTGCCTACAAAAAAAATGAATCTACCTCATCTGACGTCTGCAGAATATCTGGGTTGCTGACGATGAAACAAGACGGGCATGTGTTTTGGATGCACAACTGTTCAGCTCAGTTGCCTTCTTTGCAGTAGTTCCTAGAAAGAGTACATAGTGCACATGGTGTAGTGAGAACAGGTTGTAGCCACTCTTGAGGAAAACAAGAGAATGGCCCATGTGAGTTGTAAGGTAACCAACCAGCGCTGCTATTTATGATCGAATTCCCTGCCTGCAGATTACTTCCTGTTTGTCTTCTTACCAAACTGAAACCAGGCGTGACAAAAAGCAGACGGAATCAAATATCACTCCGAGTTCTTTAAACAGTTGTAAAAGCAAGTTGTGATTTTATTTTTGATTGATCAACTGAACCATCACCACCTGGTTAAAAACAAAAAAAAAAAGGTAAATTGCAGCAAAACTATCAGAGTAAGAAATAAGCGTCTGCACTGCGTGAACACTTGTGAGTCACGTCACTGACGTGCGCCACGCTGCGTCTCATTAATGGATGTTAGCGTGTCTCCGGCATCGGCTCCAGATCTTAACGAGGTTCTTTGATGCTGCTAAATTGTTGTGTTCGGTGTGCTGCGGCCGCTTTGCTCGTCAGGAGCTAACGGGGCCTAACGCAGCTCATGTGCTCCTTGTCTTGCAGAGCACGTATGACCGCTGTCCTCTGGAGCTGGTCCGATGTATCAAACACATCCTCTACACAGAGCAGAGGCTCATCAGAGAGGCTACAAATGTAAGTGGGATGCATGTGAACGTAAACTCCACGCGATGATTCTTTCAGAACTCGACTGAGCCTGGCGACACAAAGAGGAGCTCAAACTACATAATGGGTGCTCCATGCACAAACTGGGTGCAGTAATTGGATAACAGCTCTGTTTCTTCAAGTGATGCATTCTGAATGTTATCTTCTGCTTAAAGATGTGACAAAAGGTCTTATTCAAAGAAACCTTTGGTATGTCTGCATATAATGCTGTCATAGAAGCGTGCATGTTTGCTTTTTAGATTGAATTTTCATAAATGTGCACTGGTCGGCCGAAAACAAACACGAAGCACTGAAACAATGAATTATCCTGGAGCTAAACAAAACACTGAGAAGAAATAGAAACTACGTCACGCTCAGTCAGACATTATTTGCAAAGATGCTGTGATCAGTTAAAGCCTCTCATTGCAAGCTGTTAAATTACATTTAAAAACTTTTCCCCTCAAGTGTATCTATCTGAAACAACAGACATTCACACAGGTCTCTCTTGTAAACGAGTTCTCGTGACTCGCTGACACTGACCTGTATGAATAAAGGTTGAAGGAATTCATCTGCATCTTTACTCAACAAATTTCTCAACCATTTACCAATATTTTTATTTCTCCGAAGGCGGGGCCTGACGAATCAAAGTTTGAGAACCACCGGTGTAAACTAAGAAATTGTAGCATATTTTGGCAACAAACAGGAGATAATTTTTTCACGAGGGCTTTCCTATTTTGAAGCCATTGTTGGTGTAATGCAGGGGTGCCCACACTTTCATCATGCGAGCTACTTTTATAACAACAAAGTGATTACCTGCTATAAGGCCCCGCTTACACAAGAACAACCAACAATGAGAAAAACACATTAAATGTTTTTTCAATGTTCATTGGGGTAATAAACAAAAAATGATCTGGTTTATATGAAAACTCTGTAGTTTCCATGTCAGTCTGGTTGCCAGATAAGAAATTATGAACTCTAATAATGCTGTTGCTTTAAAATTATAGTATTTTGACCTAAACTGTCATATGTGCTGACTTAAGATATGCTAAGATGAGGTGTGTGTTATGTTTGTTGAACATGGGCACAGAAAAGTAGGAGGTAAATAAGACATTTTAAATTTATCTGACAACCCTGATGGGCTCGGCTGCATTTAATGCGCATGCAGCGTCTGCATTATACAGTTACATCCAAACTGGTGAACACACTGACGTCTCCTTGGACCCTGGATTTTATTAGTTTTGATCCTTCAGGCTGAAAAAGGCTGAGAAGCACAAAAACACTCTACTCCCTGCCGTTTATTATAACTGTTGTTATATTTATTATAACTGTTCATATAGTTGTTATAACTGTTGTTATAGTTGTTATAACGGTTGTTCTAGTTATTATAGCTGTTGTTATAGTTGTTATAACTGCTGTTATAGTTATTATAACTGTTGTTATAGTTATTATAACTGTTGTTATAGTTGTTATAACTGTTGTTATAGTTGTTATA